GTACAGGGCAACGTGCCAAATAATGCAGGCAGAATCAACATTGTAGAACCTCCTACTAGTAGTATACGGAACCCCCAAGCGGAACCCTATAGAACTTATTCGACGAGATGGCATCTTGCTGCCAAAGTGCCAGTCACTGAGCCGAAGACCAAAAGCATGCAGTCCAAGTGGGTGTGGCCGTACGTCGAAAGGATGGGCTCCGTGCGCATGTAGCTCCTGTTGAAAGGTTTGGGGTTTAGCGGGTTTAGGGCAGTTTAGGGGAGCGGAAGCGAGGAAAGCTACAGGTCCGTTGCGGTCCGTTCCCGTAAGAGTTACAGTACCTACTGCATGGATGCAGTCTCTCCTGCCTGTTTGGAACATGCCTGTCGGAAAGTCTTGGAGAAGCAACGAACTACTAACTTTCGAGACACAGGTGTCCTTTAGAAGATCTGTGACCTCGAATCTGGGAGAAGGTTGCATTGAACTGAAGACATGGGCGCCGGACAGGCTTGGCGCCCAGCTCAAACTAGTACCTACTTGTACTACCTGGTACTACTACTACTACTACTACTACTACTACTACCACCACGACCACGACCACGACCACGACCACTACGACGACTACTACTACTACTACTACTACTACTATTACTACTACTACTGCTACTTCTACGACACCCGCCCTACTCCAACCGATACTCTGACGTCTACTCCTACTTGCAGTGACTACTCTTCGGCTGTTCCCCAACTTCTACTATTCCCTGCTGCTGCTGTTACTAGCCTTAGCTGACAATCATGCAAGCATGCATGCACCGTGGGTCGTGTGCCTCGCGGACGTCGGCAACCCGAAGCGGACATAGTCCAGAGCGGATAAGGCATGGCCACATCATGCCATTTCCCTGTCAGGCGTGCTTCGGAGACCAGGTAGAGTCGACTTCTACACCCGGTTCAGCTTCATGCAGACTGTGGAATGCTTGATGAAAAAAGTTAGTTCCGCGCGAGCAAGAAAGGTCCTGCGTCTATCACCAGACTGCCGAGCACAGGTACAAGTGCCTCGCTGGCAACGACTGTCTGACATTCACGTCAGTTTCGGCGAACCTTCACAGGGGCGTTGTGGATGGAAGCCCTCTGGCCGGTGAAGCTGGCAACTGTGCTTCTAGTGTCGGTACACAAATTTGCACACGAAATCAGAAACAGACCTCATGTCACGGTCCCAGCAGCATGTGTCCCGGCTGGTGCCAAGATACTCTAACAACGACTTCCCCTTTTCTAACCCCTCGAAGTTCCAAGCCTGAGGCCTAGGAAGAAACAGAATGCGACAGAAGCGTCATGGCCCGAACTGGGGGTTTCAGAAAATAGGGGACCCTAATATAGTGCCCTATATAATAGGATCCCTATTATCACGACCCCAAAATAAGGTACCCTACTAATTTTCTGAAACTCCCAACTGCAGCCATGGCACAGAGAGCAATCCAGTCGAGACTCGCTCTCCACGGATAACTGCAAACCCAAGCCTGGGTTCAAGTCGAGTACACCAGAAATTAGCTTCATAAGATCATGTAAGGAGCAGGAACATTAACGATGTACACGTGCAGGAAGCAACGACGCATGAATGAATATACTCATGTTCGTTTGGATGGATGTGCATGAGCTTCCGTGCGTTGGTAGACACTCACCCGTACTGCGTTAAGAGCTTGCAGACCTTTGCGACAAGAAGAGCAGCCATCAACATGTCCGTAGTAACTAACAAGCATCGTCAGGGGAAAAACGAAGCCAAACATATCATAATAAAACAACAGTAGCAAGGATAAACTGCTCCAATTACCACATCAACAGACAAACGTGAGGTGCATGAACCGTGGTCACAGCAAGAATGATGCCAAGCAGTTCAGTAGCCAAACTCACAGTATTGAAATTCATGCTAACTGTATCCCCTTACGATCTTCCGAGATTACCATCCACGTGATCACACTAAACACAAATTAATCTTCATGCCAGACCTCGCACCCATGTCTGCATCATTATCATCATAATCATTATTATCATCATCATAGCCATCATCACCTTGGTCACCGTCATGATCTTTATGGCCTTTGACAGCATGGACTTCATCACCAGCACCACAAGCATCGTCGAAAGCATCACCGTGATCACGGTATCAAGAACGGTTATGATTACCGCGCCACTCACACGAGGCACAGTGAAGGACTCGGAGGGTCCCAGGCCTGGAACACTTGCAGTCTCGAACCTTCGATCGTCATCCCCGAAGTCTCGACACCCAGGGTGTTTGCTGAAGCAATCCTCAGCCTGGGGTCGCTGCGCATGTAGTTTCGGGGCAACATCAGTGATCCGAAACCTTGGCCGAACGGAACACGCTGCCTACAAGGCTGCTGCAACTAGCGTCGTCCAAGGACAAGTGTGGTGACCACTTGCTGCCATGCCAATATGAACAGAAAAGGCGATGGCAAAGGGAAAACTGCCGATGATGAGGCTTCCAAGCTGCCCTCGAGATGGACAACACCATGTGCATGGCGTGGTCACGATAAGGCTGGACTTACAAGCAGGCGTGGGAATTGCTAGACAGATACATCCAAACCGCCGCTGCTGCTCTCCACTTGCTACTGCTACTGCTCCTCCGCCTCCTTCTCCACCTTACTACTACCACCACCACCACCACTACCACCAAAACCACCACGACAACTACTACTGCTACTGCTGCTGCTACTGCTACTGCTACCGCTACTGATACTGCTACTGCTACTGCTACTGCTATTGCTACGGCTACTGCTACTGCTGCTGCTCCTACTGCTCCTACTACTCCTACTACTCCTACTACTCCTACTACTCCTACTACTACTACAACAACTACTACTACAACTGCTCCAACTGCTACAACTACTACAACTACTACAACTACTACAACTACAATTACTACAACAACAACAACAACAACTGCTGCTGCTACTACTACTACTACTACTACTACTACTACTACTGCTATTACTACTACTACTACTACTACTACTACTACTACTATCAATATTCATACGAAAATTACAGCTACAAGTACTCCCGCTGCTACTGTACTACGGCTGCTTTCATGAAGATCATCGCATTTACTAATGACAAATGTTGATCGTGCGATATAGATATCAGGCTACGGCTAAGGTTTGCGATTCTGGCTAGACCAAAGAGAGCGAGCGGCCCAGTGCCATCATGACACTGGGCCACACGTAGGATGTAGGGATCATGCTAACACCGGCAGACTTCGAAAAGAAGCGGTGGCAGTGGTTTCAAGCACGACTGTAGCGGCGAATGTGGAAGACTAGTGGTACGCGTGTCGGTCCTTGCATCATGTTGTGGGCCCCTGACTGATGTGATCCAGGGCAGACGTCTTGGGTCCTGCCGGGCTGCTCCTACGTCAAGCGCGTCCTGCTGAAGCAAATCCACCAGCCAACACACTCACTACAGTTTTCTTGGGCTCTCAGGATATCTGGTGGCTGCAGAGGCAGACTCTACCATAATGCTTGCCTGCCCGAGACATGTACCGCAGCGGTGCCGAGAAGTCCATAAGCACCTGGTACGATCGAAGTCTCTCGTAGCTTGACGGCTCTACACCAAGGCCTCAGATAACAAAGCTTGAACAAGAGCAAGCTTTGCAATCTGTTCTTGGCCTGTGCGCTGCAAAGTCCGTAATTGCAGGTTTCAAGGTTTGGCTCCGCCTAAACCACCAGCTTGCAAGAAGCATCAAGACTGGATGCTCCGATATGCTCAGAAACAGAGTCTCACTGCCCTCCTCAAAATCCAAAATCCTGCTTGTAGAAAATGATGAGAGTGATGGTGATACTGACCGCGGCGACAATGAGGAGGGCGACGATGAATACAACGAGCATGTGAATGGTGAGCATGATGCTGATGATGGCAACAAAGGATCATCATGATCATTATCAGCATCATCATCACCATCATCATCATCATCCTGACGACGACTCCTGTCCTGAGAAAATGCAACATCAGGATCGCTGTCCCGTAGAACACTTCTTCAACACCGCTGCCACGCAGTTCGCTACTCGGTGATACTGCTACTACTGCTACTACTACTGCTACTGCTACTACTACTACTACGACGACGACGACGACGACTACTACTACTACGACGACGCCTACGACTACGACTACGACGACGACTACGACGACGACGACGACTACTACTAATTACTAGCACGACGACGACTACCACTGCTACGACGACGACACTTTTCACTATTTGTATTGAACTGCCGGACAGCGGATGAACCACAATACAGAGGTTGCCGACGTGCAACTTCCATCGACGAAGCCTCATGACCCCCTGAAAGAACTGAACTCCTAGAGTCCTAGAGCCCGACGACGACCCAACAGACCACAGCGCTTTGCGCAAGAGTAATGTAGGGGCCTTAAAAATTCGAACAGGGTTTTGGGGGTTCTGTATTACACTTACAGTATAATATATCCCCAAACCCTATTCTAATTATTAAGGCCCCTACATTACCGAATTAACGCCATCGCTGTCTAATTCTATGCTCCTTTTCTCCCTGTTCCCAAAGTGCCTCATCCAAGAGCGGCGGCGGCTTGCCGGCTCGCGACGCGCCCACCAGGAAAGTCGACAACTCGGAGACAGCGGAATGACGAATGTTGTAGTGTAATGTCTTGACTGCGCTGTACTATACTATATGTGCAAATGCTAAGGACCTTCAGGGAGCAGATGTACAACACAAGGCAATCTGCCCAATGCAAGTCTAAAGGACTAGTGGCATGCACTGTTTGCGGAATCATACATGCAACTGTTTCTCTCACTTTATACATATATATATATACACGCATTATCGTATTATACTATATATTATATAATACACATACATACATGTGTGTGTATGCAGGTATGTGCACATTTCACGTAGAAGTACGTATTCTGCTGCACCCTCATACGCACACATACACACGCAAACTAACCTAAATGACTGTGACGTTGTATGCTGTCTTTAGTGTGCTATCCTGTTAGGGGAGCAGTGGGTCAGCTCTCCTCGTCGTGTTTTCGGCTCTGAGCACCGGGCCTCAGCGCGTGCAGACTGCCGCAGGGACAGCAGGGAGCCCACGTCTGAGAAGCTCAAGGCAGGTAGACGCGAACCCGCGCGGCTGGCGCCCCTCAAGGAAGGCGAGGATCCCAGGGAGCATGCAGAAATGACCAACACGGTTGAGCCCAGGTAGGCGGAGGAAGCCACTGACATGCGATCCGATAGACGCGCATAAGAGCGGGCGGACGTCGGAAGTCCAAACCTGATGAAGTCAAGAGTTGAAGGATTGAAGCCACAGTGGGCGAGGCTTCTGGCAAACACGGAGTTGTCCAGGTCACCTTCGCCGAGAACGGGCAGAGTGTCACCCAGCCTGAAGGCAGAGACTACGGAAGGCAAAAAATCCACTTAAGCGAGGGATCTCGATAACAGGAGGAAGCCCATCTCCATGGCTCCCAGGACCGGGATGGATGAATCGGGATGCGACAAGCCTCGAAGCGAAGGCGAAGGTCCAGGAGACACACACTTCGAGACTGGCACCAAGGAACTTAGGACAGTCTTGCCGCAGGAAAGTAGCAAGGTGCCAGAGAGATCAGCATGCAGAAAAAGCGGGAAATCAAGCCGGGCACATCCTTGTAACGACAGAGACAAGCCCAATCCAGCAAAATCAAGAGCAGGAGGTACCGGCCCGAGCTGTGTCAGACCTCGAAGGAACAATGAGAAGCCTGAATCCACACAGCTCAGTGCAAGCAGTACGAAGCCGATATGGGAGACACCTTGCAGCAGCAAAGGTGAGCCCAGATCGCAGGTTCCCGGAGCTGGCACGCTGGGTCCTGCGCAGCAGCTGCCCAAGGCAAACAGAAACAAGCTCGGACGTGCAACGGACCGCAAGAACAGGAAGAGGTCAGATGTCGCAGCATCCAGTGCGAACGACACAAACCCCAGACATGCCACGCCGTGCAGGAACAGCAGCAATCCTGGGTTGGTGGCAGAGCATAGAGACAGCACAAATCCCATCTCGAACATTCTAACACTCAGCATCGCGCCAGCACGCACGAAGGATTGCACCGGCAAAGGAGACTCAGGCTCGGCAGCATCCGGTGCCAACAGAGGTAGGCCGAGCTGTGCAGCACCACGCAGTAACAGAGAACTGTCTGGCTGACTGCGACCAAGAACAGACAGCACTAATCCCG